AAAGAAAGAAAGAAAAACAATGAGACCCCAGCATTTGATTCAAAGTGGATGAATATGAAAGATTTAATATTAAGATAAACAAGCCAGACTATGAGAAGCATTATATGTCCTCACTTAACATGTACCAAAAGTCTGTACTCTATAGCAGAAACCGAAATATTGGAAGATAGAATAATAGCAGGGAAGACATCTGTACCTACTAGAGGCAGTGTAGGAGGGGGTTGGTAATAGGATGTAGGAGAAATGGGATCAGGAAAAAAATATTTAACAGACACAAAAATGAAAAGTTATCTGTTGATAATGTACATGGTAATATCTTTGACTTGACTAATATGCACTGTGTTTAGGCTGGGAAAAACCATTTTGTATGCTGTCAAGATGCACAGTGATTGAGGCCAGCAGGTAGAGTGGTAGTTAAGGAACTGGATTCCCATATGGCAACTGCCGTTTGAGTCCCAGACCCAGTAGCTTGAAAATCACACTGGCTGTGTGTGTGTGTGTGTGTGTGTGTGTGTGTGTGGCCAAAATCCAGAGAGAAGAATGAAGCAAAAAGGATTTTGGCCTGGCCATCACCCTGGGGGATTTCTCGCTTTCTCTTTTTGTCTTTTTTGTGTCTCTCTGGCTAGTGCAAACACTCTATGGCAAAAACTTAAAAGAAGAAAAAGAAGAAAGAAAGAAAGAGAAAAAGAAAGGAAGGAAGGAAGGAAAGAAGGAAGGAAGGAAGGAAGGAAGGAAGGAAGGAAGGAAGGAAGGAAGGAAGGAAGGAAGGAAAAAAAATGTATAGTGATTAAATATAATTTTAAAAAGATGAAAATTAAAAGTTAAAAACTTTTTGGGGGGAATATGAAGTATCCAAATGTTATCATTTAAGACCTTGTAGTCACTTGTGGGATTCTTGCTTATGAAATGCCATGATAATCCAGAAACAACAAATTTGCAGTGTCACTTTGATGAGAAGATAGCAAGAGGGAACAGATGCTGTCCAACAGCTGGACAATCCATCCCATGGAGAGGGAATGTTTGGTGGAGGAAAGTAGGTGAAATAATTGTCTGGCACTCACATGCTACCTGTCTTATTGGAACAATGGCAAGGAGTCAAGAGGGACAAAGACCTGCCTGAGCAAACACTTCTAGTCACTCACAAGACCTTGAAGAGCCCACTGGTGCAGAGTACTGTGTGTATAAGGCAAGGCAGAATTCACAAAGTAGGAAAGAAAACAAGCAAGACTTGCATTTACGACACCTGGCCAACCCCTTAACAAAAGAACCTTATTTTACTCCTTCCTTCACCTTCTAAGTGACTAGTCCTGTGTGCATACAAGTGTTGCTGATGGCTGATGGATGAATTAAAGGAAAAAAACACATGAGCAAGTAAGTCGGGATCTGAAACATAACAGGACATGGTGGTTGTGATGACTTTCTTGATTTGGGCAACAAGGAGGTTGACTGCACTGAAGGCTTGAGTCAAAATTGACTTGTAGGTCATGATATGTTTGTGGGCAGTCGATAGTGGGCAGAGGAGGGTACCCACCATGCCTGCATCACTGTCATCCCAGTCACACTTATCTGGCCTCTAGCCATCGTCAACCATATTTAGATTGTCTGTAGACCAGCAAACCTGTGCTATCCTGGCCTGACCCCACCTGTTTGCAAGTGAAGGAACCCTTCCTGAATTTTACCCAGCACTGAAGTTTCCAACTTCAGTATTTGAATCATTCACATTACCTGAATGCCATTTAGAAAAACAAAGGCATGTGCTTAGATTTACCTGAGAGGAAATAAGAAAGGAAGAGGGACTCATATATTGAGAGCATAGACAACCTGTAAGCAGGTTACAGCAGTCCTTGTCCTACTCTGCACCCAGGCATCATTTAATCCTCCTGTTTTCAATGCTTCTTTAGCACCACAACCCTGTCCTCAAACAACTCTTAAATAACAGAAGCCAACGGAAATAAGGTGCTCTGTTTGAAGAAGTGGAAAGGCTTGTCACCATCCCTTCCTGTCTCTGAGCCCCCTACGTCTGTCCCCAAGAGAGTCCTTCAATGCACAATTCAAAATCTTCATGCTAATTCACATTCCTCATTTTATAGATGAAGATACCAAGATGCAAAAAGAAAGTGGACTAGGGACCAGCAGTTAGCATAATGGCTATGTCGCTGGACTCCCACGTAGTCGACTGTGGTTTGCATCCCGGACCCGGTGGCTTAAAACTCACGCCGGGCGCGTGTGCGTGCGTGCCCAAGATCCCGAGAGGAGAATGGAGGAGAAGGGATTGCGGCGTGACCATCCCCCCGGAGGGTGATTTCTTGCTTTCTGTCTCTCTTTCTCTCTCTGTCTGTCTGGCGACCGCACACACCCTATAGCAAAAAAAAAAAAAAAGAAAGAAAGTAGACTTGCCCAAGGTGCCCAGGCTGGTTAGTGTCAGGTTAGAAGGTCTGCTCCTTCCAGGCAGAACTCTTCTTCTCACTGCCCATTGCTATGCCCCAGCTCCTCCCTACACCCTGTCCAGATGACTACTTGCATTGGCTACTCTGGGTGGTTTATGTAGCCATAGCTGAGCCAGACTCAAATCTAAGAGCAGCACGCTGGCTTCTAAGCCTCTTAAAATTAGAGCATGAGTGCCCTCTAGTGGCTTCCAGGAAAGTTTCCATGATTCTCTTAACTTTTTTCCAATGGCCCAAAAGAAAGACACTGGTGAGGACAGAAGGGCAGTAGAGCCGGAAGTGCCTCCACCAGCACCACCCAGGAAGTGCATTTCTGGGACACCTGTAATGCTGACTTCGAGTTTGTTTAACTGTGGCATGTTTATCCATATTATGTGCCTGCTTGACTTGATGTACATTTTTTTCTTAAAAATCTTTACTATAGTAATTGTTCAAGAAAGTTACCACATGCTTATCCCATGAACCAACCTACTCTAAAGAACATAGAGTTAAAAATGAAGCTCTCATTGTGAGGATCAAAGTTGAAGCCCTTTCCAACCCTACTATACTGCAAGCTCTGTTTTGTGGCCAGATGAGATAAAATGTGAATAGAAATACAATAAATAGAATTTTCTCAGCAACCAAGTATAGAATATGTCATTCCTAGCACAAAGTAGGGAAA